AAAATAAATAAAGAGTAAATTAATTCCAATAACATAAATTACCATCCCATCCACATGAGATAAATGAGGAACTATTAGTTGAATGCCAAATTACATCAGTTACACATCCTTTATGAGCATGCTCAAACACTTTTAGTATTTTTCCTTTTTTCCAACTCCATATAAAAATTTTACCATTAGCATCTCCTGAAAGAATATATTGTCCATCTGGACTAAAAGAAGGACGACAACACCAAGCCCCTGGATAATGGCCTCTAAATACCCTTCCACCCATTTGTCTAAATGGATCTCCCCTAAAACAAACAATAGAGTTATCCATTGATTGTGCAATAACATATTTTCCATGATAATCATTTAAACAAAACATTGTTTGAATACTAGGGTCTTGAATTTCCTTTGTAACTGAACCACTTCCTAAGTCATAATACCTTATTATTTTATCTTCAGATGAACATACTATTCCTTTTCCACAATGAGCAACATCTAAAGGAATTGAATCAACTATATATTCACACGTATGTTTTTTTTCTCTTATGTCATATTGAAATATTCTTTTGTTTGCACATCCTGCAAAAATACCATTTTCATTGGCAATAACACATTTATATGGTGGTTTTTCATCAGTTGAGTTGGGTGCTTCCGTCCATCCAGTAATAACTTCTCCTTTTACAATGTCCCAAACCTTTACAGTTCCATCCATTGAAACAGAAATAACAAAATTATCATAAAATGTAACTCTAGGAATCATAGACTGATGTCCTATTAAATTTTCAACAACACTTTTTTCTTTTAAGCCACACACTCTAATTATTCCATCATTACCTGAACAAACTAAAAAATTTCCTTCTTTGTGTATACAAAGAGATGTTAATGTTTTACAATTAAGATTGTAGTCCCAAGTACAATTATTTGGTATTTTACATTTTGAAATTTGTTTAATTTCTTTTCCAAAAGAGATTGAATCTGGAATTATCATTTCACCTTTTCCGAAACATGGAGCAGTAAGTTGAGAATATTCTTCAACAAGTTTTTTTGTTTCTTCTTTTTGAAGTTGTCTTTTTGCTTGTTCTTGTTGAATTAATAAATCAAATTGTTTTTGATCAAAGTCATTGTGTATTGGTTTTTTCTTTTGTTTTGACTTCTGTTTCTTTTGTTCTTTAAAAGCTTTTTGAAACTCAAGTTCTATACTTTCGTTGTTTATTTTCTCTGCTTTTGACTTCATTTTTCTTTATTTTTAGTTTTTTTTTCTTTGAGTCTTCTATTTTTTGATAAAATAAAAGTTTATTGGATAATATCTTTTTACAAATTAATTATTCTTTAAAAAAGTCTTTTCATATTTCATAAAAATTTGACAAATTTTGTGGACAAAAGAGAAACTTTACGGGAAATCAAAACAAGTTCTGTTGAATATAATCCTTTTTTTGAGATAAAAAAAAAATGGAGTAAAACTAGAAATTAACAAAAGTGTTCATACGGTAAATGAGTAGAATCTCGATATTTAAGAAGAAACCTAAAGTTAAAGAGGAAGTTGAGATTAGTTTAGACATTCCTGAAAGTATTAAATCAAACGCAATATGGAATGTTTGTTAATGATATTAGTATTTTTATTATTTATAGAATTAATAATTAAATTATGTTAGATTTGTCGTTTAGAAGATTATCACGTTGTGTCATCTATTATACGAACATGTGGTGTTGATACTGTACCATTTTGGGATGCTATAAGGAATTGTTTGGATAATGATGCTGTATTAATTTATTTATTAAAACAACACATAACAGAAGAAGTAAGAAATACAAAAGATAAAGCACAATTATTTAGAGCGAATGGTGGATTTACTCATTTAATGTCATCATTTATGAAAAAAGAAGGAAAAAAAATATTAGAAGAATATATTAATCCAATAATAAAAGTTGTAAATGAGCAACCAAATGAACTTGAAGTAGACAATACTAAAGTAGCACAGGAAGTTGTTGATAAAAATATTGAAACATTATTAACAATATTAAAAGAGCATGTATGTAAATTTGATATTCTTAGTAAACTAATTTCTCCAGATTTTTCGTATATTCTTAATGTTATTAAGAAAGAAGTAATGAAAAAATGGCCAGAAAATGCATTAATTGCTATTGGTGGATTTTTATTTTTAAGATTCATTAATCCAGCTATTGTTTCTCCACAACGATTTGGTAGTAATATGTTACTTCCAAATGATAATGGACATCGTACTTTGATTTTAATTAGTAAAGTTGTTCAGTCTATTGCGAATCAACCATTATGTCCATTTAGAGAAGAATGTATGCAACCATTTTCTGATTATGTATTATCACAATATGATCACGTCAATCAATTTTTGAATATTATTAGTTCAAATGATCAAATGCCACGATATGAGCGATCTATTAGTGATTCTGTTATTGTTGAAGAAATACCTATTATTATTAAAGGATTAATTGGATTTAAAGAAGACATAATGAAAGACTTCTATGAGAAACTTGATACTGTACCAGGAATAAAAGATAAATTAATTCCAATGTTAGATAATAGTGAAACAATCAAAAGATTTACATTCTTTGATCAAACAGCTGCATTAAATGAAATGATGTTATCAATGAAAAAATCAATAATTTCATATGAAAATGAAATAAGACAATTAAATGATAAAATAGTCGACCTTTATATAAAACTTGGAAAATATTTACCTGAATGTGAAACATTACCAGAAATTACATATAAAATTCAAGAAACAAAATTAAAAAGAATTGAAGAATTAAGAAAGAAAAGAGAAGAAGAAGAAAAAACAGAAAAAGGTAAAACTCTTATTAGTACTCAAGCAGAAAAACCTATACCTACACCTCTTAATAATAAAGAAGAAAATAAAGTAAAAGAAGAAGAAAAAGAGGTAATTATTAATGATAATATTGATAAAGTTAGTGATAGTGATTCTAGTCAAAGTGAGGATAGTGAAGATTTTAATAAACCAAAAAATAAAGAAGAAATGAGTGAAAGTGAAGAATGGTCAGAAAGTGATTCAGAAATCTTCTTGAGTGAAGTACAAGAAACTTATAAAAAGAAAATGGAAAAAGAAAGAAAAGACTCAATTACACCAAATAAAGCATCATCAATTTCTATTAATGAATATAAAGAATTAATGAAACAACAAGGACAATTACCAAAAGAATTATATGAAGAGGCACAAAAAACTATTCATATAATTCATAAATTAATGCACAAAGTACATAAATGTAATGATGCTAATCAACTCTACCAAACATCAGTAGAATTAATAATTATTATTCAAAAATTAAATGGAAAAGAAAATATTAAAACACAACACAAAAATGTTGAATGTGATGTTACAATGATTCCTAAAACAAAAGACCTTATTGAAAGATTAATAAAATTATTAGAAAACAAAATTGTAGATGACTTAAATTTAACTGTAGAACAATTACAAAAGATTCAATCTTTTTTGAATGATGTTTTACCTTATCTTAAAAATTAATTCATTTTTATTTGAATAACAAAATAATTTATTTACAAATATTATTAATAATTTAATAAATTGTTTTTTTGTTTTAATTATAAAATAGTGTCTATTGTATTTAACTTGCTTCAATAACAATAACTTAACTCTTCTATTCAACAACATACAATCATTATTTATAATATAAACCTTTATAAAATTGTATAAAGATAATGTTAGAGTCTTTTAAAAAAACAAAAATATGTCTCAAAAATAATTGATTAAATTATAAAAAAGAACCACCAATTAACTGAAATAATGTCTTAGTTTTGGAAGTCTGATTTTATTCAACTAGAATATTTTATCAATATGACGATCTTCTAATACTTTGTGCTTAACAAGGAAATCGTTGTGAAGACACCCATTAATAATTTCTTCACTAAAAGAGAATAAGGAAAATCCTAATGCTAAATTCATAGAATAAGCCATGTTGCTGTTGAAGAATGACTAATTAATAAGTTTAATAAAATTTAACTATAAATAATAACAAACATATTTTAAAGCATCATTAAACATAGAAAACATGATAATAAGTATAGGAACAATAAAAGTTAATACCTTTGCTTTCCAGAAATAAACACAAAGATGAGACCATGGGATATTATACAAAGCCATTGGAAGAAGAAGGTCTTGAACAGAAAGATAAGGATTACATACAGCAATCAATAACATTACACAGAAGAAATAATAAAATTGATGAGTAATCATTCTAGTGAATATAAAGAAAGAAATAATTAATGGTATTAAGGGTAATATAACTGTATACATCAAATTATATTCAGGGAACATATTTGTAAATAAATTCCAATATAAACCTAAGTTTGGTGTTAAATCACTCACAAATAGTTCTTTACAAAAGCGGAAATAATAAAATATTGGACAAGTAAGAAGTACTGTTGGTGAAAGGGAAGGTAATAATGGAAGTAATAACGGTAATGTTGCTGGGTATAAAAAGATTGTTATTGGAAGGAATGGAGAGAACAAGTGTTTATGTTTAGGAATAAGAAGAATCAACGATTCTAATAATGTTATTAATGAATAACTGGATATTGATAAGGATGCTAAGATACCAAATGGATTATACAACAAAACACATGCCGATGTCTTTGATATTGTAACTAATGGAAAGGAAGGTAATACAGATAATACAATTACGACGTAAGAAAGATATTCCTTTGGTATATAAGAAAATACCTCAGTTAATAATGTTTCATTTGGTTGATCTAACAAAGCAAACGGTGATGTATTTAATTCAACTCTACTTGGTAAAAGGTAAGTTGGTAAAAAATTTAATAATATTAAACGAAGAGATAGTCCAATAATAAAGTGGACAATAAATGGTATTTCCATTAACTGTTTTTTTTTGTTTTTTCTTTCTTAAAACAAAAAGAATGAAATAATTTTAATTATAATAAAATTAATATATTTAATAATATATTTATTTTGAGTTGAAAGTAATGAGAAAATATTGAAATGTCAACTGAACAACTTAAAGTTGCCATTGTCGGGTATGACGAACTATGTGACAAGTTTATGTATAAATTAGAAAATGAAACCAATACTCATATAGAGGTGTTAGGGAAAGAAAAAATAATTAAAGGAGAAATTAATTTAGAAAATCAAAAATTAGTAATAACGTGTATTGCTAATGGTTTGTATTATTATAAGTAATAATGAATCAAAATATAACATATAAGCTAGTGAGTTTAGTATAGAAGAATGTGGTACTGCTCTTATTTTGTTTAAAGCTAATGACCAAAGTAAAGAAACACAAGCACTAATTGATCAAATGCAACTCAACACAGAAGATATTTTTGGTTATTGTGAGGAAGAAACGAGAATGGATGGTATTGCCCAAACTAATCAAATACCACCAATGTCAACAATCAAAGACGTTTTATTGATTGTTAGAAATATTAAAAAAAATAGAATAGCCATTGGTGATATTCTTGCATTGAAAGAAATTGAAGAAAATGCTCGTGGTGCTCTTGAAAAACAAAGAGAAAAAAACAAAAGAGAACTAGAAGAATTCTCTAAACCGATAGAACAAGCTTTAAAGGATAAAATTACAGAAGAAAGTCTTCTTCTTGGAGAACAATCTTCTGAAGAAGTTGAAGATATTCATTGGACTGATGATGAGGAAGAAAAGAATGAAACAGAAACACAAAAAGATAACAGAAAAAGAACTGGTCAAATGGTTTTTGCCTCAAGTGGAAAAATAGTTGCTGCACCACCACCATTAAAGAAAAAACGAGTAACAAAACCAAAAACAAAGTCAAAAGTTAAATCAACGAATAAGAAAAATAAATGAATATTTTGTTTGTTTTTTATATCAAAATTAATGATACTACAAATAAATAATTTGGTATTTGGAAAATAACAGAAAAAGAAAAAAAAGAAAACTTTAAATATCAACAAATTAGCATGTCAGTTAGTTTTTATAATGTTTCATTATTGTTGGCAAATGTTGTACTTATTTCAATAGACAAAATTAGAGCCTTGTTATTTAATGGTTGTTCTTAAATACTTTGATTCTGTTGATACATTATGTAGATTTAATCTTGTATCTCATAATTGTCAAACTGCTATAAGTGCTACACGAATTAATCCATGTTGTGGAATTAATTCAATTGGAGTTGCCATTACTTTAGGAATAGGAAGGATGCAACGAATTGAATCAAAAGTATTTGATCAATTAGACACATACCAAGTTCATTTTCGAGAATTAGAAAAAATGAATGAAGTAGATTGTTTGTTATATTAATATAACTCAAGTTAAGCCAAAAACTTAAATAATATTTATATTATAGTAGAGAAGTATAAGATGTTTAATATTTATAAATTTATGATGAGAGATAACCCTGAAGATTGTAAGATGGCATTAAGTATTAGAGACCGTATATCTACTATTGGGATTGATACAAATTATTCAGTAGTATTTAAATTAGAAACAATGCCTATGCTTAGAGAACTTACTGTTCGTATTGGGGATAGTACCAAATATCCAGTTTTAGAAGATGTTTTTGCTGCTATTAAAAATAACAAATCTTTGCAAAAATTAACAATTAGTTTTAAATCAAATCTAACAGAAAGAATAATAAATGAAGTTCTTCCACAACAAAATCGTATTCATATTTCATTTATCATTAGTTGGTTAGATGATAATGATGTTGATGCAGTTTCTAAGTTAATAGAAAAAAGTCGTAATCCTGTAGGAATTAGTGATATTAATCTGAATGCTTTTCATGGCTTCTTTATGAATAAAAACAAAGTTGTATTAATTCCTCTTGTCAAAAAATATTTTAGAGTATCAAAAACAATGAAATTAGACCCTCGTTATAATGAATTAAAGAACTTTTATCTTCCAGTTAGAGAAGAAGAAATTTAATAATAAGCAATTTCTTTTTTTGTTTGTTTTAAATTAAACTTAAAACTGAAAGAGTTGAAATGAATTAAAAGAGGCATTTACTTTGAAACAATAAAGAGAGAGACAAAGGAAAGAGTCAAAAACAAAAGATAGCAGAAGATAAACGTACTACGGTCTTCATATAAAGATTGTTGATCGTGAGACTTTTGGTTATGAAGATCATGACTAAGAACTTTAATACATTGTTCAAAGATATAATCAACATTTTCATTATTTTTAGCACTACATTCAATAAATTCAATAGCCTTAAGTTCTTTAGATAACTGTAACCCATCTCCAGTAGAAATAAGAGGGTTTTTAACTTCACTATATTTCTTTCTCTTTTCTGATTGAGTAGCAATAAGGAAAAATGGAGTATGTGGACATAATGATTTCATTTCAGGATACCATTTATTTTTTACATTAATGAATGATTTTTTATTTACAACGCTATAACAAACTAATATTATATCCACGTTAGAATATAATGGTTGTCTCATAGAAGGTAAAGTATCAAACCCAGTTGAATCCCATAAGTCTAAAATTACTTGTTTTCCTCCTATTTTAAGTGTTTTAGTAGAATTTTCAAACACAGTAGGAATATATTCTTTAGGACACTTTCCTTCAATAAATGTAGTCAATAACTGAACTTTTTCAGCAGCATCATCTCCAATGGCAAGTATTTTAAAATATTGCATCAATATTAAGAAAGTTTGTAAGGATTTATTAGTTTCAACTCAATCCAATTTTTACTTTTTTACATAAAAGAAATTTTTACTTCCTTTTTTTATTACCATAAAAATAAAAAATAAAAAAAAACTTAAAAATTATTCTTATTGAAATGGCAGAAAATGATGATGTTTCTGATGAAATTAAACAAACTAAATCACGAAAAACTTACACAAGAGGTTCATTCATTAAAACAATAAAAGAATATTTAAAAGCAAATGGTGATGAAAATTGTATGGATGAAACTGTTGAACTTATTGAACAATTACTTATAGAGTTTATATTGGAGTTCACACTTAAAATTAGACAAGATGAACCAACAAAACAAATTAAACCAGAAGATGTGTTGATTCATCTCATTAGAGATAGAAGAAAATTTGATAGAGGAGCTTATATATTGTGTCAAGAGATAAAAACAAATAGATACAAAGAAGAAATAAAACAAAGTAATCAAACAGAAGGAAAATAAAACAACTATTTTATATATATTTCTTTCTTCTTTTAAACCATGAAAAATAATAAA